ATCCGCTCCAAAGTATCCGCTCCCCAATAGTCTTTGTCTTAGGCCATCAGCCACTATTTTGAAGTTGGTATCACTTTGACAATTTCTTCTAAGTCTCAAGAGTTGGGACTGATCTGAGATGGTGTAGGATTTTGAGCCAATTTGAGTTGTGAAGGTGCAGGAAATGGGGCTGATCTGGTGTGTGAAAGTCCAGGAATTGTGGTGATCTGGGGTATAAAAGTACAGACATTGGGGTGATCTAATGGGTGAATGTGCAGGAATTAGGGTTCATCTGAGGTTACTGCACATCATTACTGGTCAGGAATTGTAGCTGATCTGAGGTCTGGAGGTGCAAGAATTGGGACTGATCTGAGGTATGAAGGTGCAGGATTTGGAGCCAGTTTGAGGTGTGAAGGTGCAGGAATTGGGGCTGATCTATGGCGTGAAAGTACAGAAACTGGAGCTGATCTGAGGCCTGAAGAAACATGAACTGGGCCTGATCTGGGGTGCAAAATTACAAGATTTGAGGTGTGAAGGTGCAGGACGTGGGCTTAACTGCCTAAAAGTGGTGGATTTATTCATGTTTTTGCTGACATAAATTCCATTTAAAGCTAAATGTCCAAGTGGGCTGATCTGGGGTGTGAAAGTGTAGGTATTGGGGTGATCTGAGGGGTAAAGGTGCAGGAATTGAGGTGATCTGATGTGTGAAGGTGCAGAAATTGGGGTGATCTGAGGTGTGAATTTGCAGGAATGAGGGCTGATTTAGGGTCTGAAGGTGCAGAGATTGGGTTTGATCCCAGAGAACTGTATTAGGGTGACCACTATCACCTCACATTTCATTTCCAATGTATATTTCGCAGAAGTCTTTAGCTGACATATTAATTTCAACCGCACCATACTTGCCTCACAGCACGTGTTCTAGAAAAGGGGTAAGTTACCATTTACTATCCTTGAAAGCTCCATTTTTTCCTCCTGTTCAGGGCCATCTTTAACAATGAATGGACCCTGGGCAAACCTTTTCTTGCCTCCCCACATGAAACTTTGCTCTCCACCTGCTCTGTGACGTACAATAAATAGCAGCGAAACTCAAAATCTGTTTACTTCAGCAGATCAGGCAGCAATAGCAATTGATTGCCGGACATTACAGCATATCATTACCGCTCACTGACTGGTTGATAGAGGTTACAGCACACATTACGGCTCACTGATTAGTTGCTAGCGGTTACAGCACATGATTTCTGCTTGCTGATTGGTTGCTAGAGGTTACTACATATCCTTTACTGCTCAATAATTGGTTGCTGGAGGTTACTGCACATCATTACTGGTCACTAGTTGGTTGCTAGAGGTTGCTGCTCATTATTACCGCTCACTGATTGGTTGTTAGAGGTTACTGCATATCGTTACCGCTCACTGGTTACTAGAGGCTACTACACATCCTTACCACTCACTGATTGGTTACTAGAGGTTACAGAACTTCATTACTTCTCACTGATTGGTTGCTGAAGGGTACAGTATCTCACTACTTGCACACCATGGACTGAGAAGGTTAGGGGACCCACCAATAGTCAGAAAACTACTAGTACTTTTGGCTTCATGGGTAGTGCTGGGGGGGGGGGAGGGTGTGGTCAGTGGCAAAGCTGGGTTGAGGGTTGATGGGACCAGTGGTGGATAGGATGGAATAAGTGACAGTGCTGATGGGGGGATGAGTTCAGTGACAGTGCTGATGGGGGGATGGGTTCAATGGCAGTGCTTGGGGGGGAAGGGGGATGGGATCAATGGCAGTGCTTGGGGAGGATGGGATCAGTGGCAGTGCTGGATGGGGATGGGAGGTGACATTTCTACACCAATGTTAGGTGTGATTAAAACGGATGACCAGTGTAATGGGGAATTTTCACTGACATCCAATGTGATGGTGGATTTTACACCAAAAACCAATACATTTCTACACTGGCCACCAACGCAAGGGGGAAGTTACACTAACCACCAGCAGAGGTGCTGATGGCTGGAACCACAAGGGGGCTTAATATACATATGAATGCCGCTGATATTTACATATGAATGCCACATTGCCGCCACTATTTACATATGAATGCTGCCATTATTTACTCAGATATCAGACACCACCTGGGACAAAGACTGCCAGGTACAAGGAAGTGTAAACCAGTACAGTTGGCAAGTATGGGACAGCTGCTTTGAGTCCACACAAATTGACTGGGCCCAGGGCAGCTGCCCCTTTTGCCCCTCCTTAAAGACAACCCTGTTCCTATTATTCAAATAGTTTACCGCATTTACTATATGAAAAATTATTTTTGTGGCTAAGTGTTTAAAGTTGACATTTGTATATAACAGGCACAATCAATTTCTTTGAAAACCTTTTTTGGCACACCATGCTCAAAAGGTTGCCTACCCCTGTTGTATGGTAACTGTACGTGGTTATTATCTGTGAAGAAATTCAAATCTTTCATGCAGATCTTCTCCTCCCGCCAGCTATCAAAATTTAAAAAAAAAAAAAAAAAATGTGGCCATGTAAATGAGAATCTACAAGTCCCGACAGCCTTAACTGCTGTCAGCTTGTAGTGTTCAATGTACTATCACTGCACTGTGGAACATGGTAGTTAATTGATTCTTCCTGTCTGTATATCTGCTTGCTCGTACAATCCCGTACAGGCAGGCAGATATATTGACAGATCTGCAGGAGACCTGCACGGCACCAGCGATCTACTGATCACTGGTGCAATGGTTTACAGGCCCCTGCAACAAAAAATAATAAATGCACTTTTTTTTTTTTCTACCTGCAAAAAAATGTGCATTTGTTATTTTTTAGCAAAAGGAGAACTTATCGTTTAAATCTTTAAAAAGTTTCACTGCCTAAAAGTGGTTGATTTAATCATGTTTTTGCTAACATAAATTCCATTTATAGCTACAGTGGGGCAAAAAAGTATTTAGTCAGCCACCAATTGTGCAAGTTCTCCCACTTAAAAAGATGAGAGAGGCCTGTAATTGGCATCAAAGGTAGACCCCAACTATGAGAGACAAAATGAGAAAAAAAATCCAGACAATCACATTGGCTGATTTGGAAAGAATTTATTTGCAAATTACGGTGGAAAATAAGTATTTGGTCAATATCAAAAGTTCATCTCAATACTTTGTTATATATCCCTTGCTGGCAATGACAGAGGTCAAACGTTTCCTGTAAGTCTTCACAAGGTTGGCACACACTGTTCCTGGTATGTTGGCCCATTTCTCCATGCAGATCTCCTCTAGAGCAGTGATGTTTTTGGGCTGTCGCTGGGCAACACGGACTTTCAACTCCCTCCAAAGGTTTTCTATGGGGTTGAGATCTGGAGACTGGCTAGGCCACTCCAGGACCTTGAAATGCTTCTTATGAAGCCACTCCTTCGTTGCCTGGGCGGTATGTTTGGGATCATTGTCATGTTGGAAGACCCAGTCACGTTTCATCTTCAATGCCCTTGCTGATGGAAGGAGGTTTGCACTCAAAATCTCACGATACATGGTCCCATTCATTCTGTCCTGTACATGGATCAGTCATCCTGGTCCCCTTGTGGAGAAACAGCCCCAAAGCATGATGTTGCCACCCCCATGCTTCACAGTAGGTATGGTGTTCTTTGGATGTAACTCAGCATTCTCTCTCCTCCAAACACGACAAGTTGTGTTTCTACCAAACAGTTCTATTTTGGTTTCATCTGACCATATGACATTCTCCCAATCCTCTTCTGGATCATCCAAATGCTCTCTAGCAAACTTCAGACGGGCCCGGACATGTACTGGCTTAAGCAGGGGGACATGTCTGGCACTGCAGGATCTGAGTCCCTGGCGGCGTACTGTGTTACTGATGGTAGCCTTTGTTACATTGGTCCCAGCTCTCTGCAGGTCATTCACTAGGTCCCCCCGTGTGGTCCTGGGATTTTTGCTCACCGTTCTTGTGATCATTTTGACCCCACGGGGTGAGATCTTGCGTGGAGCCCCAGATCGAGGGAGATTATCAGTGGTCTTGTATGTCTTCCATTTTCTAATTATTGCTCCTACTGTTGATTTGTTCACACCAAGCTGCTTGCCTATTGCAGATTCAGTCTTCCCAGCCTGGTGCAGGTCTACAACTTTGTTTCTGGTGTCCTTCGACAGCTCTTTGGTCTTCACCATAGTGGAGTTTGGATTGTGACTGTTTGAGGTTGTGGACAGGTGTCTTTTATACTGATAACAAGTTCAAACAGGTGCCATTGATACAGGTAATGAGTGCAGGATTCTTAAAGAAGAAGGTACAGGTCTGTGAGAGCCATACATCTTGCTTGTTTGTAGGTGACCAAATACTTATTTTCCACCATAATTTGCAAATAAATTCTTTCCAAATCAGCCAATGTGATTGTCTGGATTTTTTTTTCTCATTTTGTCTCTCATAGTTGAGGTCTACCTATAATGCCAATTACAGGCCTCTCTCATCTTTTTAAGTGGGAGAACTTGCACAATTGGTGGCTGACTAAATACTTTTTTGCCCCACTGTACATGTCCAACTAAGATTACCCTGTCCACAGGGTGACAATACTGCAGTGATTTCACTGCAGAATGAACAGCGTTGTCACCCTGTTACAGGTGGAAAGTTAATCTACTGGCAGGATCAGCAGGTAATAAAACTAATATACAGGGGAGGCGAAGCACAGAAAAATGAAAACTTCTGATATTGCCATTGACAGACTGCGACATTTATGTCCTTTTTTTATTAGTTCCTTTAAACACTGCAATTTTGGCTGAAAATGTATGGGCTGAGTAATATGAAAAGTAAAGATCTAACACTGACTCCTTTTCTTTTGGAACTATACCATCCGTTATGTCCTACAGACTTTGGTGTTCTGTTTCATCTGCGTTCCGGTAGTGTTGTTGGCTGCTGCAGTTCTTATTCACAGTCTAGAAGTGTGCTGTGTTCTCCCTGTGTCAGTGTTTTATGGAGTCTGTGCTCTGTACTTTCAGGAGTTCTGTGGAACTTATCATCCTGCGATGCTGTAAAGATGACTATTATCCGTGACGCTCTGTCTCCTCTCACAAACACTGTGATCGTTCCACATTCCGGCCTGAATAATTCTTCTTTTGACGACGATCATAAAGTCAAGTTTCAGTCCTCTTCGGTTTTACGGAATACCACTGGCTGCATGAGGTAATACATCGGTATCTCACCCTCAACTCTTAACCTTAAGAGCACCTGTATCTGATACATAGAAGTAAACAAATGTTAAGAAAAGGCTACGTTTGGCAATATTAATGTATTTTCTCTGAAAACGTTTTGGTTTTGGATATAGCGGAGAACATTTGTAACCTCTTTTACTACCTTAGGACTTGCTTTCATTTGCAGTAGTCCCTGCTGCTCCTCTGAAAATTGATCTGAAGTGGATCAGTTTTCAGAGGGCAGCTAGGACTTGATATGTCACCTTCTCAGTGTCTGATTTAAGCCCACACTACTGTGCTGCAACCTTGTACATTGCACAGGCTTGCAACACAGTGGGCAGTGCAGCATGGTCCCATTCAATTCACAGGGGGTATCATTTTTGCCACAAAGCAAACTATTACTGCTGCAGTAGACTTCTGTCTGGCTGCCTTTGTGGGTTAAGGGTGCGCAGTTTAGGGGCAGTAAAACCATGGCTCAGCTGTCTATTTTTACTGCCCTCTCTCCAATTAATGAATATTAAAAAACACAAAGAAAAAAAATGTGCTGATCTAAGATGAATTGGCTACTGAAATAAGTGCTAAAAAATAAAAAACCAAGCTGAAATAAGACTATTTGGCTGGCAGCTCCATTGAAATCGGCATACAAAGGAAAGCAGTAGCAGATGCTGCAACCCTAACAAGAGTGATCTCAATAGTTGAACTTATGGATCAGCGAGGCTGATTGGGGAGCTTTATCCATGTCATGTTTGCATTCAGAGCAGCAGATTCAAAGATTATATTCATGACAAACGTAACTGCAGCCATAAAACTCACTTACTTCTATAGTGGTCATATATACATCAGAGCTGTCTGTTACCCCATTAAGGAAATTCTCCTGCTTTTTTCTATCATAGTAACCACTGTCACTGGGACAAAAAGTAACGTGAAATCTAAAAATGTACAATTGTTACCATAAATAGTGAGGTGGTCTTTCATTGGGGACACTAGTTCCATGGCAACTGAAGACTGTTTGCCTTCTAGAGATTTTCTCTCACTTCTGTTATGGTGTTTTCTGGGAAGCAAAGGCAAATCAGCATATAGATAGAAAAAAAATGGCAGTGGTTTTAACCATTTAATACTTTATTAAAAACTTTAAAAAAATGTTTGGGCTATGTATATACAATTTAGGACCTAGAACATGGTTGCAGAGTGCCATACATCATCAAGAAGGAGCATATTTTTGGGAGTCACAGCTTCTGCCAGCAGCTTTTCTATGACAGGCTGACAGATGCCTTAGCTGTATACATATAAGTGCACATCTGAACGTTACATGCATACAGCAACAGATGAGTGGCCCTGGATGCAGACAGTTTGTATCAAGGACCACTCATCTTATCTGTATGAATGTAACTGCCCAGATTTGCATTCACATCCTTACAGAGGTGGCATCTGTCATCCTGTCATTGATTAGTACAGGCTATTGGCTGTGGAATAATGCACATACCTGTGACTCCTGAGCACAAAAATACTCTCCTTCTGGATCGTGTATGACCCTCTGCAGCCATGTCGATGAGGTCTGATAGATGATTCAAGGTGAATGGGGGAATCCTCCACTGAGCTATTGTTTTCTGACAGGGGGTAGACTTCCCCACTGTCAATACACTGGTCAGCACTTTAGCCTGTGGCACTGACAGAGCCAAAGTTTTCCAACAGGATCGGTAGATCATCTTCTGTACAATTACCCTGCTCATACATTGATTAAAATTCAGCTGGTCCCTGCTTAATTGGCTGAATTTCAATCCATGTCCAGCTTAAGATTTACAGATCATTTATTTTTCAATGAAAATAAGGGGACGTATGATGTTGTATATCTGGATGCAGGTAAAGCAAATGAAACATGTTATGCAGAACGTGAACAAATACTGCTCTGAAATGCATGATATGTATATATATATCCTATGAGGTGGTTGGATGTAAACCAACTACCTTTCTGTTTTACATCTGACTGTTGTCCAGTCCACTAGATGGATGGGGAACGGATCCCCATCTGTCTGTTTTTAGCGGATTGGATGCAGGCGGATGTAAACAGACACTTCTGTTTACATCCTCCTCCCCATAGAGAACAATGGGTGGTCTGATCAGGTCTGCCTGAAAAACAGACAGGTGGACTCGATCGGTTTGTCCATGTTAAAGTGCCCTAATGCTTACTGACCCATTAACCTTTTGTATTTTATGTAGTGTCTCATTTACATTTCTTGTTTGCCACTAGCCAATGTTACTATAATATGATATATGACACCATTGCACTTAGAATTTGCCATCTTCTGCAGGAACTCCTAAACCTGCTTCCTAACATTCTTTGTGACCCTCTGTCTTTGATAGGCAGCATTGTTTATCAGTGTCATGCATTTATTCCTTTAGAAATCTGAGTTCAGCAGGAGAAGAGGCTCGCAAGCAGATGAGATATTGTGAAGGGCTGGTAGACTCCCTCCTCTTTGTGATTCAGACCTGCGTGAACACATCAGATTTTGACAGCAAGGTATCTATTTTATTTATTTCAGTAGTAATAACACATTTTTACATAGCGTCATTTACTATGCGTTAAGCTTTTTGCTGCACTTAAATCCTTAAGTCATAGGCAATTTCCTCCACCCTGTTTGTGAAGTTCGAGATGTTTCAGGAGTTTTTGTGCTTTATATACTATGATTGAAAAAGGGTAAAATACAAATCCCAGCTGTTTTCCTCCAGAAATTCTAATCAATGAGATCATTATGGCAGGTCACATGGTCCCTCAATAGTCTGCACTGCAGTTGCTACTGAATGATTGATTGTAGATTCATAGGTCTTAAAACTGAACTCCAGACATGCAACTAAATATACACATGCAGTTTGTGTATGGGAACTTTTTTTTTTTCTGTCAGTTTTTTTTTTTTAAGCCAGTCCTTAGTTTAAAGTGAATCTTTACTCCTAAAACAAACTTTTTCCACAACCTTCACTTCCTCCCCTATTTAAAAAAAAAAAAAATAAAGTTTTAATGTTATTTTTTATTTATTTGCTCAAGCCAGTATCCTACCTAGGCAAGAATGATGTGTCCCTACTCCTGCAGATCCTGGTATATCCCTGTTAAATATCTAAAGAGGCTTTAGCAGCTGGGACACACAGTGGCTGTGCGGTGGACCTGGCAGGGAGTATCAGTGTGTGGGCTGAAAAGGGCCCCTTTCACATGGGGTGGACCTGCTTGCTCAGCGGGGGATCTGTCTGCTGATTCTCACTAAGCAAGCAGCTGACAGGTCCATGTCCGCTCAAGTTATGCAGAGCAGACACAGACACAGCCTGCTGTCTTCTATGGGCGGCCGGATTGAAAGGACCCCTTGTCCGTTTCCATCTGACTGCCAACTGATCCAATGGACAGAATGGGAACGTCTTTTCTCTTTATCAGATCGAATTTAATGTTTTTGAGTATAAACGGACACATGTTTGTTTATACCCGCCACTCCATAGTGGAGAATAGAGATTCTGATCAGGTCCGTCTGAAAAACAGGGCAGGCAGACCTGATCAGGAAGTCCGTGTGAAAGGGGCCAATCTCAGAAGAGACAGCCAGCTTCTGATAACCTGGGAAAGGGAGATGGCAATACAGTACCTAGAGTGTGACAGCAGAAGAGTTGATTATGCTGGACTCACTGGGCAGGTGAGTATGTTTTCTGAAGGTAAGCCTGCAAAAAAAGTAAGAGGGGAAAGGAATAGAAGCATGGGAGAAAGTGTGAAGGTCAGGTTACCTCACTTTTCTCTACTGCACCTCATTTATATAGCGCTGCCTCCAGGCAGTGACTGGACAATGACAGAGCAGCAGCAGGCTGCCCATCTCTCTTTTTCTTTTTCTTTTTTTCTTCCTATCTGTAGGTCCACAGGTCATATTGAGTGAAAACAATACAATTTCTATTAATTATCCTGTACTTGGTGTTCTCCTTGCAACAGGTCAGCCAAGAGGTGGATATCAATCTGGCATAGATACAGATGCTTGAGGGAGAATCCGCAAATGTGTGCCTTAAGTAAGAACACAAAAATATGAACATTCCAAGTACATAAATGTAAAAGTTACTTTAAAAACTATTCTTGGGTAACTTTAAACTACACAAAGGTGTGTTAAACTAGAATCAAATTGGAAAACAAGCTCCTGAGATTTCTTCAGCCTTGAGGAATAGAGTTTCAGCCAGAGAAGTAGAAGTGAAGGTGCAGTGGGCGGCCAAATCCAGCATTATAATCTATGGCCCAGATAACTGCCCACATTCTCATGAGCCTGAATGACAGTCAGGTTTTCTTTATAGTCTGGCAGTTGGAATATGTTCATTCAATTCTGTAATTGTTCTGACAGTCGTTAGGATTAGGGCCGACTGTCTAAAAGCACGTAATATCTTGCTTGCAAAATGGCAGTAAGGCTTTCTGTGGTGGAACGAATAATCTAGCATTCCTCGCAGTCATATGGAGCATCTGAGAATGTCCGTCTCTGACAGCCTGCCTTCCCTCTTTTCCAGACAGTGGAGAACTGTGTCTGTACGTTAAGAAACCTATCTTACCGTCTAGAATTGGAAGTGCCTCAAGCTCGCTTGCTGGGAATTAATGAAATGGAGGACTTCTGCAAGGAATCCCCCAGCAAGGAATCTGACTCGAGCTGTTGGGGTAAAAAAAAGAAAAAGAAGAAAAGACCGCAGCAAGAAGAGCTGGTGAGTACAAATAGGGGATTATGGTAAAGAATAAAGAGATAGCAGCCATGATGCTTCAGCTGCTTTATCCTGTTACTGGTTGGTTTTGCTTGGGCCCTTTTCTGTTCCTGAGCAACTGTAGCGACATTTATAGAATTATTTCTTTCATGTGTCCGCAGCATCAATGAAACAGAATATGAGATCACAGAACTTGTTGGGAACTCTGCAGATGGTCATGGGGTTCTGCATTAGGCTGAAAGCAACCTTTCTCCCAAGATTGCCCTCTAGTGGTAATCTGTAATGGCTTCAGCAGTATAATGGCAGACTGTTCAGACACCAAGAGGCTGCGGCCCTCTCTGCGTCATGCATTCCAGTCCTGGAAAGACAGCTCCGGTCACTCTTTTTGTACAAAGCCTGATTCAGGGTTTTAAACTGATGGTTATTCCTTCATGAGTCAGTTATTAAAGTTTAAAGCTAACTTTTAGTTCCGATATCATAGTAGTATTTTGGCACTATTAGTAGTAGTAGTATTTGGTGCCAATTTTACCTTAAAGATGACCTGTTGTGATATTATAAATGTTGTAAATTACTTCAGTGCTTAAAACAATATTAAACCCAAAAACAAAGATGTTTTCCTTTATTTCACCTGGTGATCCTGCCAGCAACACAATTCCTATCTTAGGGTGTCTTTATTCTGGATGAAGTAGTAAAGCAGACACCTGGACAGCAGCATTGTTGGTCTGGGAAGGGTAGTGTTAGACTAACAGACTTAGATGGCCTTGACTAAAAAAATTAAAGCTGAACTCCAGCTAACATTTTTAAGTAGTTACTGCAAACAGTTTTTATTTTCCTAATGGGTTAAAGCTTTTACATAAAAGCTGACCATTGTAAGCACCCCTGTCAAAGTAAAATGGTTTGTCTCAACTCTCCAACTGTTTCTTTGGACAGCTGGTTTGTTAAAGTAAGTTGGAAAATAACAGTTACTGGGCAAATCACCAGGTGAAAATAAGGAAAAAGGACTATAAAAGAAAACTAATGCAGCTACCACATCTAAGAATTGCTGAGCTGTAATGTAATACATTTTTGAGGGGTTAAGACCACCTTAAGAGCAGCTAACACAAGATTTCTGCAAGTACCTTTTATTTCACCAAATCCTCTTTTCTACCCCTGTTGATTCCCCAGATTCTAGGTGCCCATAGTACAGAAGCCTCTTCTCAATTTGCAGCTTTGCCATGTACCTCTGTCATTCCAGTTTTGACTGCTGGGGCACCTTGATAAGATCATGATATAGATAGCAAAGCTCCAAGCTAAAGCAAACAGTGAGGCCTATGTATAGAATGGCGCCAGAGTGCTCCCCGAAAAGGACGTGGTGAAAAATAAGGGTACTTGCAGTTTAAGATCTCTGCCGGGCTGTGATGCAAGCCGTAAGTTTTTGAAGGTCTTTAAAGTGACAGTGTCATGGGAAAACAAAACTGCTAGGAAGACTTCCTAATCCTGAAAGCGAGTGAGATACCCAAAGATAAGAGATGATATTTTTCATGAGACAAATATTCATCAATATAATTGTGTCTGCTTGTCCTTCCATTTTTCTTCTGTGGCATGTGGACATGCAGGAGACCCAGCAGGAGGTTCCAGTGGTTAGCTGCGGGCGGCTACACCATTGAAAGCAATGGATGCGAACAGGTCCTGCAGCTCATCGCGACAGCTGGCATGTGGTAGCTCAAGGAGCAGTTATCCGCAAAAGATCAGATCTGGATGCAAACGCTACATGTGCGATTACATGCGAGCTGCCAAGATTAGCTGCGGCAACTGTCGGCTTTACATTGCTTTAGAGCGCCCACAGCTAATCTCTGAGCATCCCTGCTGGGTCTCCCACATGCAATTGCTAAGAGCCTGATTCACAAGAGTGAATAGAGCCTTAATGTAATGCTGCCAAGTCCAGCTTTCACACCCATCCAGTACTATGATCCTAGGTTTCAAGCCAATGTCCCAGCAAACAGGAGCTGTGAGCAGGTATCATCAGTTGCAGGCTTATAGTGTACATAAAGTGTGGTAGATTATTCTATACTTTGCTTACTATGTACAGCACTTAAAAGACACTGGAGGTTTTTAAGATATTTGGCAACTGTTTGGATTGTGATTTTTTTTTTTAAGAAGATATTTGGCAACTGTTTGGATTGTGATTTTTTTTTTTCTTTCCTGCAGTGGGATGGTGTGGGCCCCATTCCTGGACTCTCTCAGTCTCCAAAAGGAGTTGAAATGCTCTGGCACCCCTCTGTAGTAAAGCCATATCTAACTCTTCTGGCCGAAAGCTCGAACCCAGCCACTTTAGAAGGTTCTGCTGGGTCTCTTCAGAATCTTTCTGCTGGGAACTGGAAGGTAATACATCACTGGCATGTTAATCAGTCTGAAGTGAGGTCACAGGGAGGTGCATTATGGTTGGTTGCTGCAGGCTGTTGCACTTTGTTCTTTATCAAGAGGAAAGAATTGCTTGTCATCTGAGGAGCTACAACATCCACAACTGTACGCCAGCTTAAATCTTGTAGTTCCCCATATATTTACCCATTCCTGCCCTTCATCGCATAGTGTGGATTTTTATATAAATGTGCTGGTGAGTTAGTCCTTTTATGTTTATATAAGATGATACCCAATAAATGTTATTGCTGCTACTTTCACTTTTATTTATTATTTTAAGTGTCTTCAGCCCCTTACTCTCAGGTACTTTTAAAGCTGATCCACTATAAAGCAATCAACCTTCAGGCTTGTGCTGATCTGAACGTTTGCATGTAGAGAAGAGCTAGATGCTAGACCATTTTGTTAAAATATAGCAAATTAAAAAAAAAACAAAAGTATACAAGCCATATTGTAGTTATTAAAAATTATAGTTCCTTTTCAATCTGCATCCTCTGTAATTTTTTATAAAAATCACTGCAATATGGTAACCTGGAGGCCTTCTTTGCACAGTTGGTCTACTGAACTCCCCCAGAAATGTAATTTCCTCTGTGTGATTGGCTCACTGATTTTCCCAGAAGTCTAGGTACTAAGATATACGTACATTTAGGCATCCTCTGCAAAGTCCTTCCAGCCCCAGGTCCAATCGCTGACAAACTCATGTAGACTCCACCTCCGCAACATCTCCAAAATACGTCCGTTCCTAACCCCGGAAACTACTAAGCAACTCATTCACTCCCTTATCATATCATGACTTGAATACTGTAACTCCCTCCTCACCGGCCTACCTCACCACAGGCTATCCCCGCTTCAGTCGATCCTGAATACTGCGGCCAGACTCATCCACCTTACCAACCGCTCCATATCCGCCACCCCCCCTCTGCCAATCCCTCCACTGGCTTCCGATTGCCCAACGGATTAAATTCAAAATGCTAACACTGACATACAAAGCTGTCCATAACACTGCCTCAAACTACATCACCGACCTGATATCCAAATACCACCCAAAACATACTCTCCGCTCCTCACAAGACCTCCTTCTCTCTACTTCCTGGTTTCCTCCTCCCATGCCCGTTTCCAGGACTTCTCCAGGGCTTCCCCCATCCTCTGGAACTCCATACCCCAATCCATCAGACTTTCACCTACTCTCCTCTTGGCGCACCCTGAAAACCCACCTCTTCAGGGAAGCCTACCCCGCCCTCAGCTAATTGCCGATCTCCTCCACTCTTCCTACCACTCCATCCCCCACAGCTATCCCTCCGGTACCACTATCCTCTCCCCTAGATTGTAAGCTCCAAGGAGCAGGGCCTTTGAACCCCTCATGTATCGCATTGTATTGTTATTGTACTGTCTCGTGTATTGTCTCCCATTGTAATGTACAGCGCTGAGCGAACTGTTGGCGCTATATAAATACTGTGTAATAATAATAATAAGAGTTATATTTTGGAGAGATACTCACTAAGGCTTCTTTCACATTGGTGGCACTGCTGCAGTCTACGGTGGATGGCGATGTTTTTGAGACACTACTGCCTCCTGAACGCCTGTTGTGTTTTTTTGTTTTTGTTTTTTGTTTTTTTTGTTTTGTTTTTTAATTTTGGCTTGCATGGGATGTTACTGACATGGTGAAAATTTCATGTCAATAGCACCTATTGTCAATATATTTACTGAGAAATTTTTTTTTTTAGTTTTGGATAGAGTACAGAAGGATTAGTACACCTGTCAGTTTTTATTGCTGTTTGTACCCCATTCTGGAGATTCACCCTCCCTATTTGCGCTGTTTACCATTATCATTGAAGGTGAAAGTAAAATATAATCCCAAATTCTAAGTTTTCTCTGGAAAAGTAATAAAGGGGAAGTTATCCAATTGGGACACTAGTTTTTGTGACCTGGGGGTCCCCAAGGAATTCCCTTAAAGTGCAGCTCCACCCAAAAGGGGAAGTTCCACTTTAAAGACTGGTCCCCCGCTCCCCATTAGAATTGGTACCTTTAGGGTGCGTGTACCCGAAATTGACAGGTACGCTCTCCCACTTCCGCTGTGATCGCCTAGATGGTCGTAAGCAGAAGTTGTCCTACATGACAGATCCCAGAAGACTACTGGACCATTCAAAAAGTGCAGCACAACTCACGCATGCACAGTGGGCCCCCAGCTGTGAAACTGCACAGCATGCTCTTAAGTTTTAAAGGGGTTAATATATAAATAATTTAAGAGGAAATGAATGGGTGAATGCATATTTATTCTTCATTATTTGTGGGGAGCACTAATGTTACTCAAAATTAGAAGAACCCTATATTTTTTTTTTTTTCAAATACAAGGAATTGTGACAACCTCTTTCAGGTTTTAATTGCTGTCTGTTTCCCATCTGGAGAGATATGCCTTCAGTATATGTTTTGGTGACAATTGTTGCCTGGACAGAAGGTTATGGGGAAGACACATTTTTTTCAGTTGTCACTGGACAAGGGTAGATGGGGATACAGCAGTTCAGGTGACAATGGTCAAAGAAGTAATTTCACCTCTTTTTGGAGAAATTTCCAGA